ATGTCTACTCAACGGTATCCGCGAAAAAGACAGCATCCCTGTATTATAATATAGACATCTAGGATTTTGATTCTTGCGACTTTCCTCTTATGACAACGACGTCGGGGTTTCTCTTTAAAACTAGCAACTTGAGCGTTGAGTTGCGACCGATGTGATCTAAATAGTCCCACCTTGCAATGCGACGATTTATTCCTGATTTGTCTGTCTTGGACTTTCATACAAAAAATTAGCCCGAATGTAGTAGACTTCCTTGCTCAGTAGACAAGGCCATAGGGCCGGATGGCCCGACCGCCAATAGAGTTTTGATAATTCACTTTAAAACTTTTCGTGTGAACATATAAATTATCATTTTTCTGAAGGCGACGTTAAGTCATACTTATTAGACATGAAATACATTTCTAGAAAAACTTAAAATGATTTGTTTCAATGGTCACTTTAAAGGGCACTTATGTGATGTCGAAGTTGCGAATCCAGACTTTGGTGTATCCATCGCCTAACACGCTAGACTTCTGCAAAATTGTGTAACTACACCTCGTTCTCATGTAATTTCTGGTTTATTTTACGTATTTGACTTGTATTTGTTCGGCGAATAAGTATATCTGTCAGCCGACTAACGCTTTTCTTTCCTAAGTGGCTGTTCAAAGCACTTGTACATGTACCAATGCTTTGAACGGCCACTTAGAAAACATAAGCGCTAGTCGACGGTCCCTACACATAGCTTACCTGCCAACACTGCCGAAGTCCTCCGGTTCATACTATTCGTACAATGGCTGGTTCCGCAATAAATATAACGCGCTTCTCTTATATTGATGACCTAGTTAAATGTTTGTCAAGCACCCGGTGATAGTAAGCCAAGTCGTAATGGTTTAGTAGAAATTCTTAAAACGCTTCGAGGCTAGACTCAGACCTTTGCGAACCGCGTCAAAATGGCCTTGTTTTCATGGAATATGTAAAATTTGCAACAATGTGTTTGAGAATTGTACCATTTATTTTCACATGGTAAGTCTTGTGCCCTAAAACTAGAATTATTAGCTTATGTCCTGCTTGCATTCCTGAGTAGTTTGTGATTTAGACGATTTTTCAGCGAGTGAACTCAAGAAGCCACAACTACATCCAAGTTATATTTTCACTGTATCTTTTGAGGCCGATCTAGGAGTCGCCGTGTGAATGTCAGCTACTTAGTTTTCGTGCTCGAACTTGCACCGTAACTCGTAACGACGCCGGTAGAAATGTTCAACGCGCGCTCAAAGGACCGGCCTGGGGGCAATACCATTTTTCTTCTTGTGTCTTTCGGGGGATCCGCGTCAAGTCGCTCACTTCTTGGGGTGGAAGGGTTGAGTTTTTGAGGCGTTTTACGTCTGACACATGGCAGGATGGACGAATTAGGCCGTGTCCTCTCCAATTTAAGACATTCGTATTATCAAGAAGGTAGTCAGTAAAGTAGGCAGGTGGCGCTCGGCTGGACAGATAATCTAAAACTTCTTTCGGATTTTTAGAAGCGCTTCCAAATGAGTGCTTTCTCGAATGCACTTGCAGCTCCAAAGTAGAGATCATTAAGCTGACGTAAGGATCTATAATGAGCTAGACATCAGAAGAGAGCGTTCGAATAATTTCGATGACAAATGTACCTCTCAAGCTCAACTTTAACAGTTTCGGAGTCAACCTCCATGCGCAAGACCTTTATGCCCTACTCTTTTTAATTGCTAAGTTAAAGTCTGGGTTTAGAGTGAGGAACTGGGATTTCTGCGAGTCAACCGCGACATTCCACCTATCTCGGTTAAAAGTAGTACTTAATATGTTTAAATTATCCTTTATGGAGTACGCAGAGTGACGGACGCTCTGAGCACAGGATTTCGTCTTCGTCTTGCAGCCTACCTAAAGAAGGCAGCAATAAATGGATATCCCGGAAGTCTCCAATCCGCGAGACAGTTACGAGAATTGTCTGGTCTATCCGACGGTGCGCTGTTGCTGGAAGTTGGTCTTGGACTGGCACGCTTAGCCGAGCTGTACACCCTCATCCGGCCTACTAGGCGCTACGCACAAGGCTCGAATCGATTCAAACAGGGTCAGTAAGACAGGCGAACGAAATCACACGGGGTCGATAGCTGACAACCGCGGAAAAGAGGGGAGGGGTCGACGGAGGTCACATGGCCAGTGTGGAACGCTGCGTCGCCGACGCACACGCGAGGTCGAGGACAACTCACACGAGCAACAACGACTGGTCAGTCTACTAACTGACAAGAATGCTAAGTTGGTGCAACTACGACAGCCGCGAAGGAGACAAAGGTCACGCGAGCATGTCGCTATTGATCTCGAAGAAATCCAAATTAATTAACAGCAAACAGGCAGGTGGACGTTCGTATGTCGAGCTCCGTTATAATATGCGGTAGGGGAAAGACCCCATAACTGGAGATTTGCAGGAACATCAAGCAAAGTACCCTGATGTTAGAAACAAGAAAGTTTCCAATTCGTCAGTACGAATGAAATCTAGTCCATGAACTCACTTTCTCTTCTTCAGTGGATGATGAACGCAGTAAGATATCCAGACCACTCTATTGCCAGCTGAGTAGACCAGAAACGATATTCTCATCCGGCCGTTGGCGTTTGACGATTTTTATGATCCCATCACTATATCCGAATAATCATCATGATCCTTACCTATCGGACGGCCAGTCGGTCCTCTTTCTTTGCGGTCGTAAGCGCTAGGCTGTGCGTATCGAAATTGAAGAGAAACGGGCGATTTTTGACAACCACCATTGGAGAATGATCCTTCGACTTAGGTACACCGACTTCGTCACTAGTTAGACGCGACGCGTGCTGCGTTTTCGCGAACATACCTCGGGCAATTCAATGAAGATAGTTTGGGTCGTTTGGCACGCAGTTCCTCTCCCGCTCATAATCACAGTGCTGCCACCCATTCGGGTAGGACGCCGGTCGAATTCTCCGGATTCATCCTACCTGATCACTATTCGTGGAGATACACTGTCTCCCAGCATCCCTTAAGGTCGAAAAAGGGCTGGAGGCCGCTACTGCGTCCAATTTCATCAACCGTCTTGGCTTACTCATGCTACTGAAGCCTCGTGAAAAGGAGGAATGGGCGTGGGGGTGCGGTTCTTTCCGCGCGAGTCGCAACGGCGTGACTCCCTCGCTCCTGGCGGACGTGCTGCCGATGCCTTTGCATAGAGGATTAGTCAGCTCTGAACAATTCCCACGGGTCCTGACAGCGGTCACGCGTCCTAGACCGTTGAAGACTTGGCCATGCTTACGGGTCAAAATAAAATCTACTTGAGACCACCATACATGCCAATGGAAGTTGGAGCAAGTTTCAGCAAGCAGTCCGGAATAGGAAGATGCGATCTTTAGAAAGAAAAATGTATTGGCCTGACGTTCCAGATCCTCACTCGGGCCCGTCATCAGAGACAGTTGCAAGCAAGGTTGATTAAGGCACAAAGAGTGCAATGTTCATAGCTCGCAGTTGTCACGCCACCACGCGCCGAGTCTAATTAGCAGCTCTAGCTTTCATCGCCGGGGCTCGTAGATGATGCGATGATTACGTGTTAGTCCCCATATCAGTCGTTAATTGCCGTAATTTTGTCACCGCTGTTGATTTTTCGCGTGATAGTTACTGAGCCCTGACGAAGTTTCAGCAGAGAATGAGGGCAGGAGGCCATCGCACTTTTTGATTGACTGCGGCTCGTAGAACTATGACTCAAGCAGCCCGCGGCTCGCGATTGTCACTTCTTGCGAGAATTTCGGCCTCGTCAAACATGAAGATGTAACTGAGTCCGGTCG